TTATGAGCACATTTTGGAATCTTTCCGTTCCAGCTGCAATATTTCCTTTTTTCATATAGGCGCAATAAAATCGTAACTTCGGAGGTCCATTCATCTAAATCCTTTCGTCCAAGGAACTCCACGTTACGAGCATCTACCTGCACCGCGTTGCATCTCGAATATTTGGCTTTGGTTTCGTCACAGTCCTGCTTTATTACCTTTTTTACCTTTTTTTCGGGGTTAGTTTTCCGCGTCGATTCTCCTCGGTACCAGTTCGCTTCTGTTCCACGATCGAGACGGAAGTTTGTTGCCCAACATTCGGTGCTCCCGGTCTAAAAAAGTGAAGTGTTCAAAGTTTTTGAATGTAACGGGGCTTGTGGCAAATAGTCGAAGAGTCGGTTTTCAGTGATCAAGAAATGCGGGGAGACGTTTTAGGAGAAAAGCGAAGATAACTTTTGCAAATTCAGCGTGTACAAGGTTTGAATTAAAAATACTTACTCGTTTATGAAGCAGAGGTAGTACCACGTCTTTCTTCTATTATGATTTACTTGAAAATTCGAAGCACTTAACGATTAGAATATAAGTATTTTTATATTATTATTCAAACAGAGGTGACCATCGGCTAAAGTTATCTCTAGAAATGAATTTGTACGTAATAATAGTGTATACTAAGCTTTAAAATAATAATAAAAGCTTTAATTTCACGTTGTATTTAAATAAAAAAAATATCTGTAGCGAGGAAATGTAGAACGCCATTTCAGGGCAGGGTGAAATTATCGAATTTCTCGGATGACATCGCATCCCCCACGCCCCTGGACCAACATGGCTACCCCAGTATCCATGGCAACACTCTCTGACTTTTATATCACCCTCGCGAAACGCTTGCCTTGGGAATAAAAGAGGCGGTACGAGAAGAGGGGTGAAGCTATCGCGAGGGTTGAACTCGAGTTAGAACGTTGCAACGAAATTCGTGGCCATGCGTCGGCCATTAAAAGGACCACGTACTTTTGTCAATATATTTAATTAATTTCAGTGACAAATACCCTATAAATCACTTTGGATATGATCCAATCTTGCGGTACAGATTAAGCTCTAGCTTGAATTCGCACAAAAAGATGCCTCTTGGATGAAAGAAAGTGGAACACTCGATTAATCTTACATGTCAGTTTGGATAAGCGAGGTTGTTTTTATTATTTTCCATCATTGAGGACATTTGTGCAGTTATCGATATGTAATCAGAGTTAAAAAAATGCGGTATGATCAGGATTCTCCTTGGTACTTCGGCTCTGTTGCTTAAAACATTGAATGAGCAGTGGATTCGAATCTTAAAATACTTTATTTTGTTATCTTGTATTCACCGTGAATAGTAGTAACGAATACTTCTTTCTGAAACTGTTGTATGCCAACATAATCTTTGTACTACCTTTAGTTAAGATAACTCTGTCTTCTTTTCATCTTCCGTCAAACTTCAGCAGAAAAAACATTTCAAATTCCTTCCTCCGATAACTGATGATCCCCATAAAAAAAAAAACTCCAAAAAAGTAAACAAATCATGTACTTGGCGTCGAGACGCTACCGCGTCTCTAGATTTCATCCTCGCTACTCATCCCGGACCTCGACCTCGCTACCTCTCCTCTCCCGACCACTAAACTTAAGATAATTCCTATTCTTCAATTTTCCATCTTTTTCCGAATTTATAAAGCCCACTACTTTTCCCTTTGAACTAGAGAATTGTCCGCGCCATCTCCACACGAACATCTATAGTCAGTACCACGCGAGTACTTATTCTTCGTTCAATTTCGCTCGACGTTGTACTTGTAAGGAATAATAATAGAGTAACGAATCAAGCGGAATACAACACAACTTCTTCTGCATTTAAAAGTGACAAGAGGGCCCATCAACCCCCTAAAATAAAAGACACTGCTTACTAAACGTAGACAAGGTAAAAAGTGGTATTCACTTGTAATTAAAAACCAAAAGCAAGTTTCTGGCTTGCTCGAATACTACAATTAACTGTCTTTGCTATCGGTTTATTCCCTCGAGGGAACGAAGGGAAACGCATAGTAATTTTCGAAATGGATGCGATAAAAGCTCTCTCGTTTCTTCCCCTTACTTTGGAGATCTATCCGACAAATGGATCGCGCGAACGTCGTTTCCTACCCATGGGAAAACGACGAAGAAACGACTTTTCGCGTGGCCAGGAATTTGCAATACAAGCGAGTTTATTGAACGATAAAGACAAAGCAGCGAACTCTGCGTTTTTCGAACGGTAAAAGCTGCCTGAACGTGGCCTGGATAAAAATCTCCAAGTGGTACCATAAACGTGCCCCGACCCTCTGGATCTGTCATCGATAAATTCCGAACTCTCGAGAGGGACTGTATACATCGACCTATCGTCTCTGATAGTAAAATTATAAACAGGCAATCGACGTGCGATATCACGTTTTCTGCGAACACGTTCGTCAAAAGCGCGAGAACTGGAATACAGGGGTGTGAGATTTTATGTTCCGAATCACCCGAAGTGAGAACGTAGAGAATGCTTGAGAATTAATTAAAAGGAAGTTTAATTTTGTTGGTAATTCAAGCAGAACTAATACTATACGAGGCACAGCTCAGGCTGTACGTTTCATTGCTCTGGATATCCTGCTGCCTTTGAACCCTTTAATCCCTTTTCATTTGCTGGCGTATAAAGAATCTCTCCTGGGGTGTAATTGTACTTTTAATCACTAATTTTATTTAATTGGGTAAAAATTACGCAAATGTTCCATGAATACGTTTAGTCAACGTTCAATACTTGAATTGGAGATATTACTTGCTCGAGAAACATTGGAATAACAGTTTAAAACTTCGTAATGCAATCAAAATTGATATCTCTGATTTAATGAAACATTTATAACGTGTACAGTAACATTTAGTATTTCCTTAAATATTAATAACAACCACGGCTCGGAATGAATATTTTTTGAAGACAATAATCGTGAGAAATTTGTCTATATTTTCATATCTATTGATTAGAACAACACAAAATTAATTTTTGACGATAGTTAAATTAATTGTTAACAGTATATATCGTTTGAATAATGCTCGTGAATATGATTTTGCTGTGATATTAATATTTCGCGAAATATTTCCTCGATGGATTCAACGAGGCCTCGATTTGACAGTAAGGCGGTTACTGTTTTTACTATTTACTTCGAAAGGTACAAGCGAACCGCCCGTCACGGGCCGCGACCGACACAGCCATATAAGGGCCACAGTCTCATTCTTAAACGATCTTGCGATACAATGATTTTATCATCACCAAGTATTATATCGTTTTCAGAATATCTTTTAATATGTAACTGAAACTTGTTACTGTGAACTTTAAAGAAACACTTTCAGAATCGGTTGTTCCGGAATGCATTGTAAACCGAACATAAATTCGTATAATTTATTTGGTGGTATATATTATTAAAAAAAAAAAAAAAAGGTATATGTGATCTCTGTAACGAATCCACGTACTTGAAAGCTTCTCTTTAGCCGACGAAAGATATTGGCCGCTAGATGCTGTAAAAGTCCTTTAGTAGGTAGCACGTCGGGGGAAGTTACGACACGTGGACCAATGACGTGTATTCCTTCGTGGGGTTGCTACCGAGATCAGGGTTGTAGACCGTAAACCTCCCCATGGACCAATGGTAGCCACCCTGCTCGTGCTCCAACTGCGGAACGGACCCCCTTGCTTTCTGAACTCTGCTCGTTTGACGCGTAATGGCGAATATCTCGCAGCTGATATACTTCAACGACTTTCATCAAACGTTAGCAGTCTTAAATTAATCTCGTAAAAAAAAATGACGGTCAAGAAGGGCGCGCGAGCAGGGGTAGGTTCGTTGCGAAAGAATAAAGGCTTTACAGTTTCGCAGAACAGAGTCGTTTGTTAACGATGTATGGAACTTTGACTGGAGAACTATCGCGTATATGATGACATGTTATTTATATATAATTCTGACATGGCAACAATGTACATTATCAGTCTTCAATTTCATCAGTTGAGGTAAATAGTTCGCTTCCTACCGTATAAGCAAAAGTATTATCAGAATTAAAGGATATGTTTTGGAAACTTGAGTTAAACTGATTCCGTCCATGCGAAGAGAAAACAAATGAATATTTCTATTCTCTTAGCAGTGAAACGGAGAAATTGTTATGCATTTATAGAAGGTTAAAATAATTGTTTAGTAGAGACAGACTCTGGAAATCGAAAGAACTTTGTTTCCTGCGATCTGCATGATCTTTACTTAGTATTATATTAAGCTAGATTGTCTAATTTATATTGGTTCCTTCTCTCTCTTGCGGGAATTTATTCGATTAAGTAGCCATCTAGCGATGAAAGGGTCGAACTAATTTTAGGAGTTT